TTTATACATTTAGTAATGAAATAGCAAAATTTATATAAACAATCAGACATTACTTTTAAAGCATTTACTTTTTGTTTATCAACTTTAGTTTTATAATAAGTACTCAAAGCAATAATTATTCTAAGAAATCTCTGGTGATGTAGTTTCTAGGGAGTTGGGCTGCAAATCCAAAAGCTATACCCCTAGTGGTTCAAATTGGCCAGTTGCTCTTCAAAAGAAAAATGAGCATTCTTTTTTTTTTCCCCATTTATTTCATTCTTTGTCTTTTTTTTTACTTTTTATTAAATTTTTTAATTTTAATGAACATTTACAGAGATTTTGGATTTCCATTCATTTTGTTGCACTACCCCCCACCCAGTTCATTCCTTTTTTTTCCCCCTTGAAAGTCTGTTTTAATTGTCCCATTACCACAGTGCTTGTCAAAGCCAGTTCTGATTAATCTCCTTTGTCAGTGTGTCCTTTGCCATTCTCTATCACTCCTCCCTGAGAGAGACTTCCCCCTGATTCGTAAGGAAAAGGGGATGACGTATCTCTTAGCTACTTCCTCCTAAAAATGGATGCTGTAGGTTTCAGGGTGAAGATCTCTCACTACTCTAAAGGGCCCCTTTGGCAATAGGAAAAATGAGCATTCTTATCACATGTGATTTACAGCCTCCTGCTAAAACTGTTAAGTTGGTTCAAACTCCAAAGCAGTGAATTTTTAAGAATTATTCTAAAAATCGAAAGTAAAGAATTTCATAGCAGTTTAAAAATATTTTTAGTCCATTTGTCAAAATTTGAGTGACTATGTGATGCTGTTTAGTATGTGATATTTATTAGAAAATTATAAAGTATCACTGCATAGCATTTCTTAACTTTAGCCTCATATTCATTCACATAGACACAAAATGGGGAAATGGAAACAAGGTTTACCTTTGATGTAATGTATTGGAGCCAGATTTGTCATTAACACTGGCAAGTTTGAATCCAGATAAAATTACTGTTGACTATTTTTCCCCACTTAGCATTTCTACACATAAAAACACCATAAAAACTTGGTTAAAATAGTAATATTCACTATTATTTTCTTAAAGAGAACAGTGGAAGTTGACTTCAAAGCAGTTTGTTTTCCCTAAACTGATTCTTGAGAAATGTGAATCTGATAGCTTTAAATTTACCTAAGTTCATCTTTTAAAATATTTTTTAACTTCTCAAGATGTGAGTTTGTGTACTTTATTGAGTCACTATTTACTGAGTATAACTTTTTATACAGAACTTTATCAGGTTTTAAAGTGAGAGAGTCCTAGAATAGTGCAAATATATGATTGATGTGCACAACTGCGAACTGAAATGTTAGCATTTCAGTGTCACCAAGAATCACCTCAAAAGAAAGATTTGATGATCTGCTCCAGAATAATCAGCAATTGAATCCCTATAGAGCACAGTTCTCTGAAACACATAGAGTTGCCATCAGCCTGAACAAAAACTAAAACTGAGAAAAAAAGAAGAAAGATATTCTTTGCTTTTCTAGATCTCAACTTGATCTCAAAGGAAACTACCAGCCCTCATGCTACCTTTTCCAGTGTTCGCAGTAGTGTAACTCATCATAGTCATAGTAAGAACATGGAAACAGCCCAAATGCACAGCCATAATGAATGGATTGAGAAATTATGTTACATTCGCACAGTTAAATACTATGCAGCATGCGGGAGCAATGATTTTGTAAATTACTACCAAACATGAGAGGGACTGGAGAGCATTATGCTAAGTGAACTCAGTCTCATAAAAACTGTCTAAGACCATTGTGGTAGAATGAGTGTGGGGAAAGTGGGGGGGAGCTTACTCATAGTTTTGATGGAGGGTGAAAGGAAAGGGGAAAGATCTGGTGTGAAAAACAATGTGTATGAGCTTGTATGTAAACCAGTATAAAAAAAATTTTTGTAGATAACTCGAGTTTCAGGTTTGCTGACTAATAACTACTTTTTCACTCATCACACAACCTATAATGGACAGTAATTCTGTAGAAGTTAACGTAAATGTCTAAAAATGGTTGTGGATTTAACAGTCAGGTGATGGAATCATTGAAGTATTAAAAGATAATGCAGAATGCTTAGAATTGTAGAATCTCAAAATGAGAATGTATTTATTGATAAAGTTATTTTTATTTTTCAATGTTAAAACAGGACTTATCAGCAGAGGTCCTCTTGAATATTCTTTCTGATGTAAAAATTCAAGAATTCAAACCATCAAACAAGGTATGTTTAGAGTTAATTTAGTGGAATTTCACTTTCAACAAATAGTTACTGAAATCCTGTATGAGTTAAACCTCTTTCTGAACTTTGAGAATACAGCAGTGAACAAATGAAGTTCTAGCCCTAATAAGGATTATATTCTCTTAGGACAAAAAAAAAACAGAAATGCCAATAAATATGTAGTATTGGAACATTTCTTCTTATTTGGATCCACAGTCAACACCCTTGACACTAGCAGTCAAGAAATCAAAAGGTGTGGTGCATTATGAAAATACTGTCAGGGGCCTTGGCAGAGAGCTAAAGAGCAACAGTGTCAGTGTAAAGACTGACTTGATTCAAGCGATGATCTTTTCAGTTACTTGCTATACATCTGAAAGGTGGACAGTGAATAAGGATGAGAGAAGAATTGAAGGTTTTGAATTGTGGTGTTGGAAAAGTTCTAAATAGCCCACTTATTGCCAAAAAGACAAAGAAATACGTCTTGAAGGAAGTGTAACCGTTAGTCCTCTCTGATAAAATGTCCAAAATAAGAGAGGCAAAGTCTTGCTATCCTTGCTCCTTAAGGTCATTATAACTGTTCTTCCAAGATCAATTTGTTCATTTCTCTAGAAGTCTGTGATAAAGATGGTAGTCTTTTTTTTTTTTTAAGATTGTAGTCTTAACAGAAAGGTTGAAACTTAGCTGTTCTTTAGCACTGCAATTCAAAAGCATTGATTCTTTGCCCTTCCTTATTTATTACCCAGCTCACATCATATGAGGCTGTTCAAAATTAGTGAAGATAGGCAAGTACTGACATGTGAAGGCAGTATAGGATTTTGCAGAGGAATGGCTTAATCTGATTTTGCTGTGGATATTGTGTTAACGATTAGGACACTCTGATGGCTTAGTGCTCAGGAGATGCTCTGACAACCCAAAAGCATGTGGTTCAAATCCATCAGCTGTTGCACAGGAGAAAGATGACAATGCCCCTCCCATCTGACTTATGCCTCTGAAAACCCACTGGAGAGTTAGCTGTGTTGTTGTTGTTTTGTTGTTATGTGCCGTCAAGTCGTTTGCGACTCATAGCGACCCTATGTACAACAGCCCTAAACCCTGCTCTATCCTGTGCCAATCGCACTGCCTCTGACACACCCTTCCCAATTAC